AATAAAACCTTATCCCTCAGAATTAACTCTCTGTTGAGTTATCAGAAGTAAAATATCTGTGGGTTTTTACAAGTAAGTGTTGGCTTAGAGAGCAGAGGCAGCTTGAGTTGTCTCCTCTGAGCCCTTTGGGAATGCTCAGAGGACAGTGTGGCATCCCAGAGAAATCTCCCAGCCACAGCAGCATCCTGCTAGAGCTGCAACAACTCCAGCACACCCACAGGCCCCACCACAACCAGTGCTCACTCCTGACTCCAAACTCAGACCCAAACAGGTTCTCTATATCCAACACCCTGGCAGACTGAAGCACTAAAGAATTCTCTTTGCATTTATTTTAAACAAACTAACAGTGCATAAAAGTTAACATAAATACCTGAAACAGATAGAGCTTCTCCAGTAGACTTCTGGCCAGGAACACATCAATCTACAAACCAAAACAAACAACTTTCATCAGATGCCAACTGTAATAAAAGTATAACCCTTAGAGCTCAATACTGACATTAGCTTTTCATTATGAACTCTAATACAAAACAATCACTGGAAGCACACGATGGTAGAAGTGAATTCTGCACCTGAATTCCTCTTCTGCCATGGACAGATTACAAAGGGTGAAAAACCTGAGCTGCATCTGCCAGCATGGACATGACTATTCTGACAAAAYAGACACCATGAGCCATTTACTTGGCCACACAACATAATTCTTTGTAGAGAGCAAGCCATTTGTTACACGACAACCACTGATATTGATGACACATTGTTTCAGCAATGTAAAACACTGGGAACTGTAATAATAACAACAATAAAAAATTCTCATATACAATTACTGCTGCCACAATGCACTTTTACCTCTTGTATAATTGGATCATCTTCTTCATTTGCCATGCTAGGATAAAACAAAGCTTTTTCTTGGCTTATTCCTTGGCACAACCTGAAAGAAAACAGAAAYGTCATCTGAATCATTTCATCTGTGTCACATAGCACATGCAGCCTGGAGTATTGTTCAGGTTAACATGGTTCCTTTCAGTGATAATCTGTTTAGTCTGTATTTTGAAGGAATGTATGTGTTGCATGAACAGGGCCCTAATACTCAACAATCTTGACCAAAGGCCACAAAATTAGAGATGAGTGAATGTCTCAAAAAGAGGTCAACTGCTGTAACCTCTGTGGAAGCTGCAGTTTGAGAGAGCCCTGAACCATCACCCTGGAGAGGGGCAAGAGTGGCCTTTTGCACACTCCTCAGCCTTTCCTGGAGTCCTCTGAAACCAGCAGAAAGCACATTTTTCTTCATAACTACACCAACTCCAATGAAAATAAGATTCTGATATTAACTGGGGACTGGATACTMTGGAACAAAAGTTCATTCTGTTCAATCCAGTGCTGTAGTCAGTGTTGGGCCTGGTTCAGACCTCTGAATAAAAAATGATCTCTCAGCTAAAGCAACAACAGTTTTTCCCTGCTGAAATCAAACAAAAGGATTTACAAATTATTTGGAATGCCATTGCAACAATGTTAAGACACTGTTAGTCAATCCATACTGGTTGAGATAGGCAGAAAAAACCAAGACYTCTCACAAATTGACCAAGAAACGTTTTAACAACAAAGATTGCACTCAGCACAGAGCTGATGATGGGRAGCAGACGTGGCAACACCCAAAAGTGGGACACTTGGGTCCAAACCCTCCCTGCTCACACCCTTGAGAAAACGGGAACCACCCTGCCCTTCCTGACAGCCTACCTGCCAAAGATCTGCGAGCTTTGCTCTCTCTCTTCTGAGAAAGTTATTTCACTTTTGAGAYGAGAAATTAAGATTTCCTGGGCTAAGGAGGGACAGAGAAAATCAGTCAGCAGGACATGGTCCCTAGTCCCTCACTGAATGCTGCATATGCACAAAATCTTATACGCAAAATCTCTTTGTGAATCCACCTGTCACTACTCAGGGAAAATGCTGTATTACAAAAACTACATTTTCTCCTTATTCCTGTAAAGACAAAGCATGTCTACAGATCCTTTTCTGGGAGAGTGAGACTGTCAGGTCTATAAATAGGAAGTGTGTCCCAGCACAACTTATAATACTCATGCAAGTGGAAGAAACCCTCTGAATCACAATGATGGCATGCAGACACAATCCTATSTCTAACACATACACATATATAGAGCAGTGTTAATTTCCACTTTTCTCATATACATGTATTTTTACTTTATATTTATTTTATTACCAAAGACTCTAATGTAACTCTAAGAGGTAAACTGCAAATCTGCACATCATTTGAAACACAGACTATTAGCCAGGCCGGCAAAAAACACTCCATTATTTCATTCTTACCTAAAATTGTCACTAATAATGGACCCCAAACCACTAACACTGAAACCTGAAATATTCTTCATGYAATCATGCAGTGCCAAGGAAAGGCCAAGAATTCCTGCTGCATCAGTGCCTGAAAGTATAAATGCTGAAACAGCAAMGTGGGAAAAGTGTCATGTCCTGAATCACTACCACAACTACCTCTGGCACCYGGACTCCTCTGGAAGGAGCTTTCAGCAACCCTCTGGCTCAGGGTGGCCCATGGCATACAGTAAAATGGAGGCTGCAAAAAGAAGCTGGAGCACCTTCCATACATTTACGACMATTATAATTCTGACCCAATTACTGCTTCATTTTCTCCTCATCTGCAAGCAGCTTTGCACAGTCATCCTCTGGCAGTGAACCCAAGAGGGCTYCTCTGCACCAGGACCTCTCTCAGGAGGTGATGTCCCCGAAGCAAACCTTTGGGGTTTAACAAAACCCTTCCCAGCCCAACAGCCGCGTGTCGCAGGGCACGCCAGCCCGAGCTGCCCGGGGCAGGGGTCACTCCCCGCCGGTGACACTGCGGGGCAGGTGGCGGTGCCCGTCCCGTGCTCCCCGCCGGACGCGGCTCTGCATTCCTGGCGCCCGCCCCGTCCTGACACAGCAGCCTGGCAGCGCAGGGGTGCGGGGAAACAGGAGAGGCCGCGGCGAGCCGCCCGAGCCGCCCTGACCGCGGGGACAACGCGAATCCTCCCGGGCGGGACGGGCCGGGCCGGGCTGCAGCCCCGCAGAGCCGGGGCCGGGCAGGGACAGCCGCTGCATTTCGGGGCGGGTGCGCTGCGCCCTGCCCGGCCGGGAGGCACGGGGCTGCGGGCCCGGCAGGACCGGCGGGGCCGCCGCTCTCAGCCCCAGCAGCACAGGCGTTCTCAGCCCGGTAGCACCGGCGGGGCCGCCGCTCTCAGCCTGGCAGGACCGGAGGGATCGGCCGGCGCCTCCCGGTGCCGCTGCGGGAGCCGAGGGGCCGCGGCTGCGGCCGGACCCCGCCCGGTTCCTCCAAGCGCCCCGGGCCGTGCCGTGTCCCGACAGGGCGGCGGAGCCCCGTGCCCCCGCTGTCCCCGCGGTGCCCGGTCCTTGCAGACTCCTCTCCGCCGCATTTCCCGGACAGGCAGAGCCCACCCCAGCACAGGCCGCGCTCCTCCCCCGCCCACCGCCCGCAGGGTCCCCGCCAGCCGGGGTCCCGRCAGAGGCAAAAGCCGCGCTGCCCCCGTACCTGTGCGCGGGCCGGGCGGCGGCAGCGCCGCTCCCCCGCTCGGTGTCGGTGGCGGCGGGGAGCGCTCAGGCAGCCGCCATGTTGGTGGCCGCGGGGCCGGCACGTGGGGACGCGGCGCCTCCTCCTACCCACAATGCTCTCCCGCCGCCGCTGCCGCCAGGGGGCGATGGCGGGCGGCCGCGCAAAAAAACACTGCTGGCAGCGGTGGGATTCGAACCCACGCCCCCGAAGAGACTGGAGCCTTAATCCAGCGCCTTAGACCGCTCGGCCACGCTACCACCTTGCGAATCAGAATTCTCGGTGGCACTTTTAATTCACACCGGTTTGCCCYTTCTTGTCYGGYTTTTTATTYTTCGTTCYCAGCACCCGCTCYCCYCGTTCACCACTTGTACCCGAAACAYAAAACACGGGGGAGCTCCTTTCCAGCCCGTTTCCATGCAGCGCACTCGGAGGGCGCGATGCACCCAGGGACGGACGGGCAGAGCAGGGCCGCGGCCGCTGCCACGTGGATGCCACGGGGCAGCACAGTCGCCTGCGCGGAACGTGTGGCATCACCCGGGCACCCCCTCTGAACCCCTAATAAAGTTCTAAAATTTTGCTTTTCCTTGCAAAGCCAGAATTCTCTGAATCTGCACAGTCAAAAGTCAGCAGTTTATGGCTGGGGGGTTGTTCTTTWGCTTACAGCACGGGGACCAGCACAGAAGTAGCCAGTACACTTCTGCAAATGCGTGGGAGCGCACCTCAGCTGTTGGTATGTTTTCTTAAAGCAAGCGTGTGTATGCAAGACATCCCAGAACTTAAACCTGAAAATACCCTGACTCACCCCTGGCAGCACTGCCCTGCTGTGAGGTTCACATGAAATTCTTACTGTCCAAGTTCAGATGAGATGTCCTGATTTGACCTGTCCTAACTGCACCTGGTTCTGTCAGCACTCATTCTACTCTTAGTGAAATTATATCTGTGGGGAAGAGAATGAGATTCAAATCAGTCCCRCAGAGCAGTAATTAAGAAACAGACAATATTCTTATTTACACTTTCTAAGCTGTAAGAGTTTGCTGTCTCCATGGTTTCTGAAGAATGCTTTTCTTACTTTGTTACTCTTGCCAAACACTCCATCTCTCAGTGACAGCAGCTATGTCTAAAAACTATACAGGTATAAAGCTAAAGCAGTGCCAAATTCCACCATTTCTCATCTTGGTGATTCTACAGAATTCTGTAGAATCTCTGGTTTCTGGAGGGGAACAGATTTTGTTGCTACAGGTCTAATAATTTCCTCTTGGTTAGTTACTTCTGACTGTTGAAAGGGAATGAAATCAGGAATGGAATAATGAAAACAATACAGAGGATTTCTGGGAGCTGGCAATAGCAGCGTTGTATTTTGGCAATTTATAAAGGGAAAAAAAAACCACAAAAGCAAACAGCCACAAGCAGTGAGTAAAACTCTTCTGAGGAAAGTGATAAAAAGAAGAATTTTATTGACTAGCCAGAATGAACCCAGAATGGCAGGACTAAGTGATGCAGGCAAGAAGTATTTGCTTGTATGACACACAAACAAAGGCTTCCATCACTGTCCTTACCCAAGCAATATTCCCACTGACCTCTGGAAACAATGAACCTGGGTAAGTTCTGGCAGGCTGAGCCTCAGATTTATTTYCACATTTTTTAAAAATACAGATTTTTATTTATTCATTGTGAATAGATTAAAAATACAGCATATAGAAATATCATTGCAAAAATCTTTGAAATATACAATTTTTCCCTTCAAAAGAATGTCACAGAGTAAGTTGTGAATATTTCTGTAAACAATTTCCATTTTCATATTATTGACAGTCCCATTTATTGTATGGTTAAATCATATGATACACCTTAGGACAGAAGGTAGTCTTCATCACTGAAAAGTAGTTCTTGCAATCAAAGAATTAATCACCATAATTTCTGCACTGAGTTGTGTGCACATTTACATACCAGATCTACACAGAGCTGTCAGCAACTTCAGCAACTACTGAATTTAGCAAATTAAACTACACCACAAAGTGYCAATAATTACACCCCACATCCTCTGCATGCACATTTTGGACTAGCACTTCTAATCTCCTCCCTACATGGTTAGTGGTGTTGTCACACATGCTTCCATCTCTAGGAAAATCTCAAAGATTCAGCATCAACACCTTATGAGGGAAACAAATCCTTTTGTCTGAATTTGATGTAGTCCCTACACTGTGTAGGCTCTACACAAAACAGACTATTCCACTGTCTTCAGAGGTGAATGGCCTCACCTTTCATTGACAGCTGATATCTTAATGCTATGAACTGAAATCACAAAAAAGGCCACATCCCAGAGAGGCTTCAGGCATCAAAACTTTGGATAGGGCCTGAAAATTACAACAAATTAATATTCCTTTGCTATGCATGTGTGAAATCCTAATCAATCCTGCATCAACTCAGAGCCTGCTTAGCTTTAAGCCTGTTTTAAAAGCCTGGCTGAAGTGGAGAGCATTGCATTGCTTCCCAGGGGCTGCCTCTTGTGCACATCAATGACACCCTAAGGAGACTGTAAGGCCAAAGAGGCAGAAGCTTCCATGCTAAATCTCCAGCAAAAATATAACCAAGGAACAGGAACAGCTTCTGTACTATCCACAGAGATGGCACAGCAGCTTTGGAGTAAAGACTGGATAGGGAAGAAGCTTATCTCTACACCATGATTAACTCAACCCCCACCATCTMTCTGTCCTCCCCTCACTGGTTAAGATTAGGCAAAGGGGACACTAATTCAAGTGTTTGGGGATAGTACTGTTYTCCCTTCTTAACCAGCAATTCTTCTCTAAGTGGCATTTGAAACCATTTGCAGATAAAATGCCATTTTAAAATACACTTAAACCATATAATTTKTTTTCTGTACATAGAAATAGGTGAATCAACATCTCCTAACCTCTTCAAACATCCATCTGGAAATGGTGGAAAATGTGYTCTCGTTTTAATTGAGATGATCTAGCTTCACTGAGATTTCAGATGCYGCTGTAAAAATAACTTCAAATTAGCCATGTATTACAAATCTTGCTACTGTACATCCTTGGACAAATACAAGATCAGCARAATTTTATACAACTAAACTTCCATATGGTGCAGAATGTGAAAATGAGAGAGGTAGCTGGATGCCTCACCTCATCAGGAAGATGAACAATTTTCTAATGGTAGAATAAGCAATGCTATGGTAATGAATAAAACACCCACCCTGAATATCCTCACTGCCAATCTGAATCCTCTTCCCTACCCCTCCCCTGATGAAGGATTCTATCTGGAATTCATTTGATAATAACAGTGTCCAACAATGTCAGCAAAATAGAATGGGACTACTTATGAACATCAGTAGCTGCATCTGTAAACTGAAAATTTACATTCATGTGCAAATTTGGTGAGATACACCAAAAATGATGAAGAAATGCTGAGGATTTAGGAAAATGTTTTTTGTATGTGAGGAGTAGAAGAAAAATGTAAACACAACTGATCATTTGCTGTATAAAAAACAAGACATGTAAAAGCTAAACAATAAGGCCTCATTTTCTTTTGTCAAAAAAACTAGGCCCCTCAGTTCTAACGGTTAAAAAAAGTACAAAAGGTCCAAGTGTGTCTGTATTACAGCTTTAAAACACAAACAGAAGTATGCTATGCACCCTACATATTACCTACACTTAGACTTTACCCTCAAAAACATTATAAAACTAAAATACGAAAAAAATAAAACTGGTAACATCACATAAAAATACATCTTTTTAGCTGCAAATGCAGCAAGTCTATAAAAAATAATATACAAGAACTGCTTAATTCAGTGTCATTCTTCCATCATGGCCCAGGCCTCTTCTGCTTTTTCGTAGTACTGATTTGCCAGTCTGCCTTTCATRGCTTCCATTGCTGCTTCTGCTGCTTCTGTGTAAAGCTCACCTGGAGAGCAAACAGTATGTTATGTTGACAGAGTAAAGAAAGAACAGGCTTTAGCCTGGAGCAAATAAAGGACAAGAGGAGAAACTGAGGTCCAACAGCAGGGCYGGATGTATGGGTGTGTTTTAATAGGGTCAGAGTTACACTGGCTGGGAATCTGGATTCTGCTCCTCAAGCTGGAAATTCTACAACGGGCAGCTGATGGCTGCTCAATGCATTTGGAAGGACTGCAACAGGAGCAGCCTGCAGGATACAGTAGTTATTACAGACATCTAGCATGTAGACTGCACAGCAAAGAGAATGCTGTGTAGGGCTGGGAGTCATGGGTGGAACTCACACTRCAAGCAGCAACCTGCAGCTCAGGGGAGTGACCCAGAGAGGCAAGCTCAGAGGGAGTGAAGGTTGCCTGGCAGTGACTCAGTGTGCCACAGATTAGGCCTGGCACCACCCACTACCCTGTCACTGCCAAGATCTCTTCTTTCACTGTCACCAGCCTTGTTACACCCAGCATCATTAMATCTGAAGGTACTGACCCTCTCTATGGATTAGAACAGCCGAAGCAAGGAATCTATTTATTGGGGTACAGGCTTGGGGAGAAGTGAAKGAAACCAAGATTATAGATAACAGAAAGAAAATGAGGCATCACCTGATCTCTGTGGATYCTTGTCCAGGTTGAAGCCTCCCATCATTAACATCTCTGCTTCCCTGGCCAGGAGCAGATAGCGRGGCTCATCCTGAGTGCCATCATATTCACCTCCTTCATCATAGTCAGTCATGTTCAGCGCRGCGTTGTACCAGTGCAGTGCCTCCTTCCAATCCTGTGCTCTGAAGTCAAACACAATTTTTGAAGATGGTTCCCTTAGGAAACAAATGTACTTTGTATTGGAGATTCAGCAACCAATTTTGTACTTGGCTTCTCRGAGCCTTGATGCTCTCCAAGAAAGCAAATGTTTTCATGGAGACTCACTAACTACACTGCAGCATTAGGTCACTACAGCAAAATGAGGCTGGGGTCACCTCATGCAGGAATTACAGAGCAGAAAGTATCAGACTGAAGTGTTTTGCTGAACTCCAGAGTCTGAGCTTCATTGCCAATTGTATGGTTTTAGTCTGGCACTTGCATTTATGAAAGTAACTGATTTAAAAAAAAAAACAGAAGTTGCAGAGTCTTGTTTCATAAATACTTTAAAATCAGTGGTTTTCATTTGAGAATGCTCAGTGAACTTCAATTAAAAGTTAAATTGACAATTTGACAATGGTGAAATTTAAAGAGATTCACTATTATGCAAACAGAAAACACATGTAAATAACAAGAACATGCTAAAATACAGAAACAGAAAAATCATTGCCCTAGGCTTGCCTCAGTGTAGCACCAAGTTACCTTACTCAGCCATGCACAGTACCTGTCTGCACCAAGATTTACACCAGTATCATATGCTCTYGCTACCAGAATCATGGAAGGCCGGTCTCCAGCTTCTGCTGCTCTCAGCAAGTAATTGAATCCTTTATTTCTGTTCTCCTTTGTGTCCTAGTAAAGAAACAGAAAGATGCATTTTGAAGGGTTTAAGTAAAACAATCCCTTCCTCCCTCTACCATTAAATGCAGTTTCTCAAAGTCAGGAAGCATTTAGCATGTCTGAGAAACTGCACGGCCACAAGAAACAAAGCAGCTGAACAGCAAAGGTGGCTTCAAAAGCTTCCCAAATGCATGCAGTAATTTGCTGGCAAAACCAGAAAGAGGCAGCATTTTTTGCTGTTTTGTCCAAATACTTAATTACAAAGGAATCTATTTTCTCAGAAGAGGCTACAGTTTTAATCTTGTCTCCTAACTATGGTTTTACTGTTGTCTCCATTTCCTGCTATTGTTATGTTATTTTTACCACAATTTTGCTTTTTGACATTTTCCATACCTCCAGAGTGACCTCGGAAAGAATGTGATGTGGCAGCTGAGAGCACATGAGCCCCAAGCCAACRATGGCCTCCAGCTCCCCGCAGTCTGCAGCGTGCTCCAGGTGGAACAGGGCTGACTCCTGATCCCACTCCTTGTCCTTCTCACAGAAACGCCCGGCTTGGTGATAGCGAACCATGGCCAGGTGAACCTGGGCAATTGCACAGGAGAGACACAAGGATGATGTAGGGAAYTGATCCTGAAAAWCCYCTCTGCCCATAGTTTATGTCCTAGAGAAAGAGGAGGCTCAGGRGAAACCTKATCACTCTATAATGATCTGAAAGGAGGTTCTAGCAACATAAGGGTCAGGATCCTCCCCCTGTGACAGCATTAGAGGACATCGCCTCAAGCTGCACCAGTGGAGGTTCAGGTTGGATACCAGGACGAAATTCTTTATGGAAAGGGTTGTTAAACATTGCAATGGACTGCCCAGGAAGTGGTGGAATCACTGTTACTGGAGGTGTTCAAGAARCAACTGGACATGGCACAAAGTGTTATGGYTGACAAGGTGGTGATTGGTCAGAGGTTGGACTYKATGATCTTAGAGGTCTTTTCTAATCTAAATGATTCTGTGAAAAATAGGTTTCTTCTCACACAGAAGGTTTGAGAACACCTAAGGCTCCCAGGATGCTCAGAAAGATTTACACCAGGATTTAGGTAAGGCCTTAAAACCTTAATTTACATTTGCATTATCCAGAATAGTCTGCAGTAAAAAGAGCCAGTCCATGCCATCAGTTTTCAGGAGCTCAACTTTGCCTACGTGCAAGGTATGTGGGTCAGGATCACTATATCCATCCCACTGAACCTCCTCTGTGTGATGCCTCTGGAAAGGCACACTAACAAACAGCAGGGCTCTTCCCAAAGGAGCCCAGATGTTGCAAGGTCAAAAGCACATGGAATTCACAGGTTCCTGAACTCAGATGTCCTTTATACAACGTGGGCAGAAAGCTATGGATGTATTATTTTCACATGCACAAATAAATGCATGCAGGGCGACTCTATCTAAGTAATAAAACCAAGATGTTTCTTACTGGATAAAACAGTATCAGTAGATCTGTCCTACCTTTCCAAGGACTGACTTYCCAATTTTCTTTTCAAGTTCTAGTGCATTGAGCCTCTGAATTTCTTGGGCTACACAGGATGGTCTGTGGATATGGACTCTGGAAGGGTTGTAGAGATTCCATTTCTCCACACTGATCTGAAATACGAAATATACCATTATTTCTATTCAGAATTTGAATTTCCATCCACATGGATTACCATTCAGAAAACAAAGCCTCCATTAATGTTGTTACTTATTAGTAAATATTGTATTTTAAAATATGGCTTTCAAAAGTCATGTCAGTAGCTGAATAAATGGTTATTATTCTTCACTAAAGAAATCACACAACCACATATAGGATGCAACTCCAAAAATAAGATGCAGAAAGGAAATATACTTTAGTTAGGGAGAAAAAAAATACACAAAACTCTAATTTTTTTTAAAGTGAGAAACCCATGCATAATCACTAATTTTATGCCAGAGATCAGTTCAGAGGGGACAATTTGTCTCACAGTACATCTTTAACGAGAAAAAAGACAAAATGCAAAAGGAAATAAGAGTGGTAAATTGATATTAATAAACATTTTCTGTAGCTGAAAAGGAAGGGAAAATAAAATCTGGTTTAGTGATGTGGTTAGGTGGCAGATGAGTGGAACAAAGGACAAGCAGAGCAGCAAGCTCACTCTGTGAACAGTTCTGCTTTATTTACCCTTGCAGAGCTTCCCAAACTGTCTTCATCAGACTCCTGCCGCCGGTTGTTGTTTGAATGGCCCTACGTTAATGYAAAGATTTGCATCATTCAATTTGCAGCAACTGTTGTGTGCCAGTTAACCCTCTTACTCTTACTCTGCAGAATTAATAGTGACAATGACCAAAATTGTTTCCACTGGATCCTTTTCTTTCAGTGCTATCACAGCATATGAAGAAACATAYCAAAATGATAATGAACTTGGCACACATGGGCTTTAATCCAGAGTGTAATTCCCAATATGAATAAGAAATTTTGCAACATGGGGGAATTTCTTTGTTTCCTCTGTTTTCAAGTCTAGACCAGGATTAGATCTAGATTAGGAAGGATAAAAAATAAAATTCTTCTGCAAAAACAGTTTAAGTATGAACAGGCCCAACTCTGCTATAGCAGTCAGGTTCTTACCCTCTCTCTGTGATCCAGATCTTCAGTCTCACTTCTTTTTTCACTGGGATATCCACTGTCTCCACCATTTTCAAAATCCTACAGAAGACAAGAACAGAACAGCATTAGCATTACACTTTGTAAGGACCTCAGCCTGACATGGCCCAGCACTGGAAAATGGCCATCACAAGYTTCTTGCATCTCCTCAGGCAAGGTTCTCCAACATTGCACAGTCCAGTATTTGCAGAGACCTAAYCCATAGGGATTCTTTAGCTTTATATCACAGCAGCTGGCATGAGTGCCCAAGACACAACATGCAGGCAGGGAACAGGCATGCCCTTTAACACCCTCTAAGTGTTAAAATACACCAGATGGAAATAAACTTCTGGAAGCAAAGTAATGCATACTAAAATATTAAAATAAAATGTTCTTCTTTTATYAGAAACAGCAAATGCTCAGAGGTAACATGATCTGCAACAACAAGAGCAATCAGAGCACCTTTATGTGCTTTTACTGAACGTTTGAAAAATCCTATTAAGACACATTTCATTAGGCAACTACAACCTCATTTTCTGTTTGAAARACACTCACCCTTTTGTTGTCGAGTTGATCCAAGTTATCTACTTCATTGAACACAGGCCAATCTAGGAGAAAAAATATTTGCTTGTTATTGTAARGATAACATGCTTGAGGAAAGAGCTCTACACATCCTCATTCTACTGCTGTTTTTCCAAAGAAGCATATGTGCATTAATTATCTACACAAAAGTACTTTTGGTGTTATTTCTGCTCAGAGGAGCACTAGAACCAAGTGTTCTGGATTAAATCAATGCAAGACAAAAACAAGTAAGACAAGTCCAGCATTCAGGACCCCCCCGAGGTGATGCAGGAGGCTCACTCACTAAGCACGTCCACCTTGTGGCTGTGAGGGGTTGCAGAGGAGGGAGAGCAGGGCAGGGAGTCAAACGCCACGTCGCTCATGCTTTCATCACCCGAGTTTTCCGACAGGCGGGAGAGCAGAGGGGGGCGGCTCCCGGACACCGTCCTCACCCGGCTGCTGCCGCACTTCTCCTCCGTGCCACGCAGAATTGTCTGAGCAGATTCCTTGGCAAATCAACAGGAAAGTCATGTGAATAATCCTTCTGTGTATTCTAAGCATGCCATATAGATCAGTGTGAATGCTTACTACGAGGCCTCTACAAAGACAGGGTATAAATATACTCATGTAGACAAAAGTATTTGCTTTGGTAAGTATGATACTGCAACAAAATATTGAGTCTTGGCATTTTTACTGTCATAGAGTGAGTTCTGTTTAGGACTGAATTTCATTCAGACTCTTCCATCAAATCCCATTCTCACCAAAATCAGCTGAAACTGAGAYCAATTTGCAAYGAGTGTCTCTATTCCTTTTCTCCCYAAATCAGGTTTGTGAGATCCAAAATTTATAAATTATTYCAACATTCAAAGATCAACTTGGTCCCAAATATACACTGTATTACATGGTWCCCTGTTAAATAAAGCTACAGCTTAGTTACAGTTTTTCATCAAGCACTTACAAGCAATTTYTTATTATAATCCAAGGCATCTTTCTCTTTGGAGGAAAGATCAAATGGTGCAAGTCCCATGCTTTGGCAGATCTTGTTGCAGAAATGAGAATGAAAGAACAAGGCCATACCTCGAACACCTAAGGCATTAAAAAAAGGTGAAGAAAGGGTTTAGTCAAAATTTTTTTATGGTTTACTCAAAGGCTGTGATTATTGCTTTCACATTGTAGAAACTACTTAATTACATGACTTGTTTAGGAGTAGGCCAGGAGACAGGAGCCAAGAACAGCTCTCATTTGAAATCTTTACATGACAGCTGCCCTGTTCAGGACTCCTCACAACAGGACTGCCCCAGCTGCTTGCAAGACCCTCAGAAATGTTCCAGCTCACCCGTGCAGTGGCTGCTCAGCAGAGAGCTGGGAAGAAAAAAGAAGCACACCTTAGTAYGTGAAACAGAATCACTGATTTTACCTAGGTTGCCATCTCCAAAGTCTGTACCACCCTCTGTATGGATCTGAGGGTCTGTGTAAAGATCTCCAACTCCTTGGATATCAACAACAATGAGTTGGTGTCCTGAGCGCTCGAAGGTGAAGTGACTGAAAGCCTGGAAAGAACCATACAAGATGTCTGAGAACACTCTCCCCTGAACTACAGAAAACAGCAACACATATTCACCTATTATAAATGGGAAAAGAAGTTTGATAACCCTATCAGTGAAACATAACTGATAAAAACACCATGATGAAAGCAGCAAGAGATTAAAAGCATGTAGTATCCGGTCTCTCCAAACTGCTCCAACTCACAAATAGGCTAAAAGGGGCAGGGTRAAAAGCAGCAGTGGGCACAGACAGGAGGGAGGAGATTGCTTAACTCCTCATTTGTGTATTAGAACTTTTGGTTTTCACTACAGTCTTCACCTTAGGTAGTGAGGAGCTGGCTGGCAGAGGAAACAACAGTGTGCTCTGAAGCCAGTGCAGAATAACTYCTGTATAAACATTCTGGCTGTGCCTGTGAATCTGCAAGCTCTGCATCTCTGGGACACTGCTTCCTTTTGCCAACARGCATTAGCTCTGCCACATTTTGGAAAAAAACCACCAACAAATAAATGTGAGCATTCTCACAAGTTCTTCTTCCCTTCAGACAGGTCCCCCTGAACAACTGCCCTGTGTCTACCTTTGTGTGTCAGATAATTAAATGTACATTTTGCGCTCTCCAAAAAACACATTTYAAGAATCAGGTATAAAAAGCCTTTCCCTTCAGCATAAAACTGAGATATTAGGCATCTTCTGGGAAGGCCTCCAAAAAAGTGCTGCCAGGCCTGGAGGAGGTGACTGGTGGTGATAGACAAACATTTTAACAGAAGCAAATACCATGGAACATTTTGTTCCCAACCTGTGAAAGCACAGCACTGATTCAGTGCACRACAGACAGCCCAGAACATAAACTCTCTGCATACGTTAAGCATAATGACAAATACCTTAAAAATAGTGGAAGAAAACTGTAAATAACAAAACTCTCAAAGCCCAGTAAAACACTCATTTGCTACAYTGACCACTTTGCATTTTTCAATAGTATTGTAAATCTATCCTACAAGATCCAAGACTCACTTGAAATCTGTACTTGTATTTCTATAGGCAATCTCASATTCAGCTATTCAGAGGCTGCAGCTAAAAAAAATCCACCTTTTTATATGCAAGTGGATTAGATTTGTTACTTGCATGAGTTGGATACCTGCCACCTCCTTTTGTGTATTACGTGAGGCACCAAAAGACTTCAGTACATAGTATAGTATATGAGAGATCTCTCTCACTGCCTCCATTTGAAGAAAGTTTGAAATATTTTGATGCCTGCAGTTATAATTAGAGTCAAAGGGCTTAGGAGWTCCAAAGAGAATTAACCCTGTTCAACTCAAAGTAATCAACTGAAATGCAATAAAGAATCATTTCATGCTTGAAAGAGCAGGCCCCAAGTAAGGGACAGACAAACTGCAAACAGAAAAATTAATCTGGCATTGCACTGCAGAGCCTGCAGTTTCCTTTCTTGGCAGTAATGCAAGACCTGTGGAGAGAGCCAACAAATTCCCTGCAGCTGACTCCATGACAGCATTAAACAAAGCCTCACTTGCGGAGTTAGACGAATGTTGTCGTCTCGCACAAATCCAGAATTTGAGTTGTATTTGATGTATTTGCCCTCAATGTAGTGCTCCAGATGGAAGAGAGGCTTTCCAGGTCTGTTCTTCATTTCGATAATACAGGTCTGCACAATATCCACCTGGGGAGGGAAAGAAGACAAACAATGACTGACAGAACACTGTCTTCAGATCAAAGTGTGTGTGAATCCTACAGCAGTGAAAACCTTCCCAATGCAAGAATCTGAACAATTGCAAAGAYCCTTCTGCTTTACAAGGGGGTGGGGGAAGAGTCTTGTGCTTCTTGAGTTATTGGAGGAATTCCATAAATTAAAAGCAGTCACTTCAAAACACTTCACTTCTGCAACAAACCCCTCTGAAAAAATTMTTAGCAAGTGCTGGCATTCTATTTTATTTTCTGGGTACCTTGAGAGTACACTGCAAGGAGTCTGCACCCAGGGAGCAAGGCATACTGTCACATACAGCATAACTTGAAAAAAGGCCTTTTCAGAGAAAAACTGAGGGTATCTACTGTTCAGGTACCTCTGTATCCTGCCTCACCTTCTCCTTCTGTCCCAGACACATTCCTAAAGGAGACCCCATCACAGCTTTCACTCTACTTATGTATTTTCTCCTACGTGGCATTTGAAATTTCTAGATTTGTACAGTTCTCTCTGCGTGCTTCACTGTATATCTCACCTTGCTGTTATGAGACAGGTAGTTATTAGCTAACCCTCATATAGGAGACAATGCAAATATCTTACAAATCAAAACCACTCATTTTGGCCATTAAAATTGTTAAGGCTTCCAGCARTTTGCCAGCTCTTCTCAAAAATCAATGCTAGTTCCATGTTTGGATGGGTGTGCAAGATTTAAGCATCTACCTTCCTGGAGCACTAACAGTTAAGTGCTTGCTGAGACTGCTGCTGGCAATAAATTCTGTGACATCTCTGGTTATCTCTAAAGCAGCTGGGCACACATCAAAGACAGCAATACAAACATCATTTCATTCTGGGTTTCAGTCAACAGCTGAGAACAGTCAGGCATTCACAAACACACAGCCCCTAGTCCTGGAAATATAAAGCATTTTCTGTATTTACTCCATCCAAAATCAGCTATCACTTAGCAGAAAACACAGTAGGGTGAAAGAATCTAAGCCTTTAATTGTGATGGAATGTGAACAGGTAAYTCCCTCTAAATTATTCTGAAAACTAACCAAAAGAAGAACAATATTGCATTTTTTGCAAGATCTTTGAATGCACCTGTTTTGGTGGCTTGTGCCGGTTGTACTCCTCTCCCCAGAGTTTTGCTTCCATCTGCAGTCGAACATCCTCAAAATACACATCCCTGCTCACACTCTCTATGTATTGCTTGGCAACRTAATTATAGGCACCTTTCCAGTTCTGAGTGTGTAAGAAGTTGGACAGCTTTTTTCTGAAAGACAAATCAATTSTTGGTGAAAGGAAACTCAAGGATTTTAATTTATTCTTTCCCATTCTTYGCCTGCATGGACAGAGCCAGGCTCCAAGATGAGCATTACCCTCAGCCATGTACCAGGTATTCTACCTGAAGGGTGAAGCATAGGTAGGGGACAAGGGAAAATGAAACATCCTATGGCAATGGCTGGGATGTCCCAAACTGCAGCTACTTCTGTTCTGAACTTTCTCCCTTTCTCAATTCCTTTCCCTCCCTGCTCCCCTCAAACCTGCAGTATGAAGGGYTGGCACCTCCTCAACAACCTGTTCTAGTGTCAACAATTATTTTCTGCAGAAATGAACAGGGAGTGGCCTTTCAARCATGAACTGAGGAACCTCTCCTGGGATAAAAGCAATCTGCTGCTYCTCAACACASAGGGGTGACTGCTCAGTAACCTACATGTTCCCAGAAGGAAARCTGCACCTGACARTTCTCATGATGCAGCTTTTACCTTTTGTTGATGTGCARTCTTTAATCCACCAATGCCCCCAAAGCAGGGGGGTTGGGGCAGGGGGTGGTAGCGTGTAACATGGGAAAACTTTGATAACAGAGGATCTGCTGGCTGCCAACAAATGCATTAAGCAGGTGCTTTAATTGGCAGCAGCACTCAAACCCTGCTTCCATTCCTCTCCCTCCCTACACCTTGGTGTTGAGGTCTTGATACAGGGGACACTCTACAGGCAAAGCAACTTCATGCTGCCTGTGCTCCTGCATGGATGGGCACAGAATCACTGCAACAGAGGCCTTGGAAAGAATGAACATGGAAGTGGGGCAAGAATTTTAGCCAGACACCAAACCTTCCCAGYTCTTGATGGAACACACTCCTCTGCATAAAACACGCCAGCTTAAGTTTTCCTAAAACCAATACCCTCTGACTGGTTCATTGGGCCACATGCAGCTAATGCTGTCACTATCTTGACTAAAGGTTTGCAGAGTTACAAAAACCTAGAAGAGAGAGCTCCAGATGGGAATTATCACTGCACCACTGACACATATGGAAAACCCAGCAGCAGGAAGCTGAAATACAAGTYATGCTTTCTTTGTACAAGAGGTTAAGGCAAAACTGCTAACAAATTTCTGTTTATGGCATTATTCAAAATATTGTGTAATGGGGAGTTTGGTAAATAACAAGAGCTAAAAGCAATGTCAGCAGGCTGAGATTTGTTACTTCCTGGGCTTCACTCTTACTGTATCCATCTGGCTTCGCACCAACAGAGCCACCAGCATGAACTGACACTGAAACAATGCCACCAAGGGGTTACTTCTCTTCCCTTTTGCTTCAATTCAAAACATTACATTTCTGTCTTTCAGGCCTCATATAAAATGTTGAGATACTTTAGCACACAAGGAATACAGAAAACAAGTAGCTACTTCTACACTTCTATGAATAATTTGTCTCCAAGAGATGGTTGAAGCAGAACATWCAGAACACATCCTCTTGCTGAAACCCACCCTGTGCAGGTGGAGTCACACTTACAGGAATAAATCTCTCATCATGCCTTTTAGAAAGCTTTACCCAATTTCCACCCACTCAATTTAAGTTCCAGTCATCACAGAAAAAAGTACTGCAAAAAAGCCTACAAAGATAAAGTGGGCAGATACTCACGTTCTGAAACAYTCTCGCATTGCTCCACGGCCAAAAGGCTGGGGAAAAGATAAAAACAAAAATACAGCATTGCCATTTCCACTAAGTTAATCACATCTTCTAACCAATAAGAGACACAACCATGACTTCCCCTTTACATCCTGCAGAAAGCAGTTTTCAAACAGGYTCTATAAAATATTTCCTCAAAGTGACAACCCACAGGCAGTGAAAGCATGTACCTGGGGAACAGATATTTGGATAAGCTTCCCCCCCCAGTATCCCATGGAGAAGACTTGGCATGTCTTTTAAATAAGCTGTTTAAATTCTCTGCCCAGTTGGGAGTCACCTCTGTGTGCACAGAGCTCATGCTCTCTGCATTCAGGCCTCCATACAGGATGTGCCAAACTGAGAATCATCTCCCCAGACTCCAGATACTGTGCCAGCAGCACAGAGCAARGCAACCCCTGCACACAACCGGCCCCAGCACTTCACTGGGAACTGACAGCACCTTCTACCCTCACACACAGAAAGTTTTCATTCTAAGAGCAGAAATTATTYGGGAGCACAGAAAATAGCAGGACTATTGCCAGGCAAGGATATGATGCCAGAAGGAAATGGGAGGGGTGAAATGGAAGGGAAATCACTGGGAATGGAACAAATGCCTCATGTTGCTGACAGGGAAGGTCTGACTCCATTTTCTACTCTATTCTGGAGGATACAAAGAAAAAGCGACAGGAGAAAAGAATTACATTGAGACTTCATAACTTCCAGGAGCAAAATATCCTGCTGCCACTGTTCAGGAACRGTAAAAAAATTACAAACTTGCTGCTAGTAAACATAAAGGACAGTGTGATCTTACTTGTGAGGCCATCTTGATAAGGACTTCATCTTCAACCCACTCCCCAGTAACGGCATTGTACCTGCAAAATCAGGACATGTATCTCAGAAAAATGCAAAGGCAACCCAAATCCTCCCGTTCCCAGCACCTATCCTTCCTTATCTGTAACTGACTCTGGAAAGTGCTGCAGCCACTCCCACACAACAGCTTCTAGTCTTCCCACCACACTCTGGCCCTCCTCACTTTGGGCAGGAAAGCAGAAACATGTTTAGCTCTTTGAAGAGACACTGCACCCTCCTGCCAAGGAGCAGATTCCAAAGCAGAGCTGAACTTCTGCAACATTGCAAATCAGGCTTTACCTGCTTGGAAGTGAAACCTCCTGTGTGATGCCTGGGCAGCACACTGGGGGCAGAAAGGGCCTCACTAAGCTCTACACACTGGACAGGCTCTCTCCCCCACCCCCGAGCTTGCACAAGCCTGGTTCTGGCTGGGTGTTTGCCTGGGGACTGTGGAGGATGTGAGCAACACCAGTTGCAAGAAGCAGTGGGGCCAAGAACTGCCCAACACTGCACTGACTGAGGAGCAAGTCCCTGCACAGCCCTGGGACAATACAAAGAGTACAACTGTGACTTCTCCCCACCCCTTTACCTCCCAACACAGTGAAAGCCAAATTGAGAACCACAGCAGCTGAGTCATCAACACATGATTGTTTCTAGCCTGGTTCTCCCAACCTGCACAGAGTCCTTCATGCATGCAGACACCCYGTATTCTCCCTTATGTATCACCCCAGTTTGCAGCAGGTAAAAGCAGTGCAAATAGGAGTATCAGAGGCATCTCTTTTTAACATGGTGACTAATAACCCTAAACCACATTATCACTTATTTGTATTTTAAAATATGCAAACTATTTCAGGACTGTGTGGCTGAGCAGGGACAGATGCAGTCTCTGGGGAGGAGCAGCACTGCATGACTGGTATGTGATTGGAAGGGAGGCCTCCCCAAACACTGATGGTAAGTGGTAATTAACTGACCTCTGACCCCTAACCCTTCCTCCCAGAAACCTGTGTCAGCAAAGCGTATATTTTGGCAAAGCTCATGTTAAAGCACTGAAACCAGTTTAAGGGCCAAACTCCCTTTTAGCACGTACACCACGCTGCTGGGTTTTATAAGGATTTCATTCCAGCCACATGCAAAGTTACTGCATGGACAAGCAACACTGAAACTGCTATTTGGGGAAAGGCATGAAAGGCTATGCCACTTTTTTTGGTCAACTATTTAAACTAAGTATGCTGCCCTTTTAGTGGGATTCATTTCCTTATTAGATTAAGTTTACAGCATTAATAAATCAACTAGAAAATATTTTTCAGCCTTGTTTCCTGTCTACACAGTGAAAGTCCTAGATATTGCTTAGGTGGGAGAGAAAGTGTGACAATGGTTCGCTGAAAGCTTTATTTTTTGATGATGTGCAGTACTTACATATCCCTGGGAGACTGAATTAAGACCTTGAGCATCAGGAAAGTTCTTCAGCCAGGTAACAACAGATATTGTGCACTACACAAACACAGCCCTTGCACAAACCAGCAGTTCTAAAGCAGGAAGACCCACAGACCTGTAACGAGTGGCGTACTCYGTCTCAATGTCCTCCAGATGGAATTCTGCCCAGGGATCAGGCATGTGCTTGGCTTTCTCAATGGCATGTTTCCAGGTTTCCTGAAGAAGATACAGACTGGCACGTTATTTATAATCAGCAGCAGCTCACAAAACCAGCACTTTCTAGAGCACATCAGGATCCCAATGTTGTGAAGATGTGCAACTACACAAGCCCCMAAAGCACTACTCAAAGCAGGGACCAAACGGTACCAAAGACCACTCTGACCTTTTAAACTTTSAATTGTAATGAAACCCAGCTCAGATATACAAAGCATAGATTTCAGTTCAATTTGCACCAACTGTAAAGTTACCGAGAACAGAATCTGACTGAAAACACTCTATACCATTTACAAAGCCTAATTTGCAGGTATCTCTAACATATGTTGCAAATGGCAATAGATGATATTAATTCACTTTTTCTGTTTTGATTTTTAACKTCTCATAGCTAACAGCACATGCTGGTTTTGCATGCATATGAGTAAGTATAAAAAAGTCCATTAAAAAATGCAACTAATACAGATAAAGTAAAAAGTTCTGTGAACCCCAGGGTCCCAAACTGTGCTCAGTATAAAAATKAAGAAATTAGATTGCTGTAAAAATTGATCATTGTAACAATTCCAGACAAATAGCTATTTCAAWATCCACCAAGTCAACAGTAAAATATCAAAGGAGATTTCTGGAGTATAAACAATCTCTCTCTACCAGCCARTTTGGAGGCTTTACTCTTAACATTTTGTTCTGCCTCTCTTTACATTGTATATTTCCAAGAAAACTGGAGATATGACTCTGTGATGTGCCAAATGCCTTCTGCAAAGTGAGCAGGAGAAAAAGCACTTTGCACCCTGCCAGTAAAGAAGTACTGAGCTCTGAGGTATTATTACTGCCTCTCTGACTGAATTTCAAATGTGCAGAAACAGTAACTTCTAAAATCCTGTGATTTGATTTTTATCCTCAGGTATTTAAATCAGTCTTTTTTATAAAAAAATATGATAAAACTTGTGTCAGCAATGGCATCAAGGAAGTTTTTGAAGCAGCTAAGCTTTAAATGCTCATTTATTTTGAATTTCAGCTTTAACTACACAAACCTTGCAAACAATTTAAATGCTCCCCTTTCTGACAAGAATAAACAAAATAAAGCAATACTCCATTAAAGAAAACGAGTTTAAAGGATACGCTGAGAAAGATTTCCTACGTGTTTCATAAGAAAATGAAGTTGCCTCAGGTCATCCAATGACAGACAGCTCAGAKGGACCTGAGCCTTTCCATGCTTAAATACCTATGACAGAAATGAGGAGAGACAGCAACAACAACTGCTTGGCCAACCACCTGTATCAAATTGGTCTTGAGTAGATTCCCTCTCCCAAAGGTGATTTGCRTTAGCTGATAATTTAAATAAGTTAATTACTTGCACCTGATCTCATGATTTTGTACAAAGCACAAAAGCTGTGTTCAATCTTCAACTGAACAGAAGTTGGACTTCATGGAAATGGTGCCAACAGTGCAGTTTTTCTCCTGCTGAAGGCAGATGGCTGCCATACAGTGACATTTCAGGGTAAAGTGAACAAGATGGGTATTATTCCATTTAACAGGTAGCTTTACTAGTTTTGATTTGATTACTWTTATGGGCTGAGGCAATCAGTTCTCCCAAAATATAAAACAATGAACAAAAAAGTCCATGAAAGAAAAAAAAATAAAAAAAACAAACCAAAAAAATCATAGTGCATTTATTAAATAATGGTGTTGACATTTTCTTTTTAACCTACCCGACCATGGTCAACCACAGAGCCATGCTTAGAACGATGCTGTGTGTCATTCTAAAGGATCCATGAGAGACATGAAAGTAGGAAAATACATGTGATAAGACAAATGATTGTCAAAGAGCCTTGGTTCTCTTTGTTAGTTAAAAAAAAAAATCCAGTTAAAAGCCACTCTTCAATTTATATTCCCAATTTAAGTTCATTCTTAGAACACYTGTGAACAAACCAGTTGAGGTAAATTGCTAATTAAACATTGCAGAGTCTTGTTTAAAAGCAGAGAATAAACAGCAACTTTTCTATCTGGCTSTGCCTTCCATTATCAAGGACCCACACTGCCTTTCTATAGCTTTGAGGTGTCACAGGCAGACTCAYAGGCCAGGCTGTGGGGTTTAAGATGTCATCAGTTCGGGCTGTCTGCTGCATTGTGTTGGAAGTCACCRTTCCTGCAGTTTAACCAGGAGATGGAGACCTGCCTGCTCCACATCTCAACACAAAGCAATTTATCTGATCAAATGTATCTGATCAGAGCTACAGTTCCAAACTAGACATTGTGGAGACCAAAACATGGGCACAAACATTCTGCGGAAGCAAAATGACACCTTAGGAAGGAGGAAATAATTGCAGTTTCTGAAGTCCTTATCAGTTTTATCTCAGACCATATGACTCAGAAATTGCAGTGCAAACCCAGAGGCAAGCGTTTAGTACATGTTAAAATGTACACACAAATGAAGACTAAGCTCTCAATCRGGTCTTAACTTGCTTAGTATAGCATACACCAACATGTGTCCCATYTCTGTACTAAGCTTTTGCTCCTCACCTTCCTTAGGAATATGTACCTTTTAATGTTTCTTTTAATTAGCTTTGGTAAAAATCTTTCTGCTGATTAGCCACCTTCACTTTCCATGTGTTATTCAGTAAGTTATCTGCCGGAAAAAAATTCTTTGCTTTTCCAAACAAAGCATGCATTAGACATAACCGAGATTTTAGGCTATTTATTAAATAAATGTTAATATTTATAATCAGAAATGTGTTAATAAAACACATTAAATCCTACTCTAGACAAAATCTAAGAGACATGCCAGTTAAACACAAACTGTGTTTATTTAGAATAGCTAAACTACAGAGTGGATGTCACTTGAGACTCCATTGCCTGGGCTGCTCAGTGTGAAGGGAGCTGAGTGAAAAAGGACACACTGCCAAGGAAGCACCAGCTACRGCCCCTCTGACCTCCCTGCAATGCTGCAACTGCTGTTCAACCCAAAAAGGTCAGATACTATTCATGTACACCGTCAGAAACTACTGCCACTGTGACACTTCATGCCCAAGCATGAAAGTCAACATGTCAACAGCTCTGTAAGAAGGAATTATTACATAAAAATTTACCCTTACAATTTTATAATTTATGATTTGTCTAACTAAAAATACTACAGATTTGCAAAATCCATAGTAAATTATCTTCTGACAGGCCCCAATTTATCTTACACCAAGTGTATTATCTTTTGAGTCTCCCAATCAATGTGCTGCACTGTAAGCAGTTTGATCCTAATGGCAGTGAATTGCTCTCCTGGTGTGGAGGAAGATCTCCCACTGAAATAAAAGGAGCAGTAAGCAATTCCATGGCAGTGTAAGACGAYTGGCTTAATGGAATTAACTGCAGCTCTGGAAAAAAACATGAGGATCTTCGTTGAAAAGTGTTAGTTACAAGAGATGAAGCAGTTAGAGGAAGTCTCATGCCAACTAAGTAAAACCAAAACCTTAATGAAGMCTGGAGGCAATACTTACCTTAAAGCTGAAGCTTCTGGGAGAAGAGCTTGAACTGTACTGCTCAGTCTTTGCTATGCTGCTGTAATAATTGTCTACTTTGGTATTGGTGAACTTGTTAGAAACRGGATCATCAGTTATTGGACAGATAAAATAATTGTCTTCATCATCACTATCAGCATCAAGATAATTCCCAGAGTCTGCTGGAGTTGTTCTGGCATTATCAATCCCTTCCATACGAAAAATAAGGTCCTCGTCTGCCATGTTTGCAGGAGGTTGGTTCAACTCCTACAAYGACTGGAACACCCACTACTCCAATGCACATGCAAACGGGAAAGAAGCTGGGTGAAAGAGGAAAAAAAGGGAAAGGGTTGTTATTAAAAGAACAAATAATGTATGACACTGATGGGCAATGGGGCTGTCCATAGCTCTGGTATGTCCTGGATCAGTCATGTCCTTGAAGCATCATTTGACACCTGCTCTGTGTGTGTATGACAGGCAGTGGAGGTTCTCCAGCACTCAGTGCACACTGGTAAGAGGATCACAATAAAAATGGCAACTGAGGACACTTTCCCCTGCCAGGAATGTGCCACTGTCCGTTTCCAGAACCGACAGCTCCTGCATGGTCTTTGCTGGAAGAGCAGGTTRTATGTGTGCTCCAGAGCTTTTCCAGTGCCCACAGCTGCTGTCCTGCACTCCCTTCYGCTCCTGCTGTCACACACACATTGGCAGATCCATGAGGTTCAGGACAGCTTGGGAACCAGCAGGAATGCAGGTTTGTACAGCACTGACTGCAAACATTTTGATTTCTGTGACTTGTATTGTAAACGGAGTATCACCACACAAACCAGTTTCTATTTAAAGCTAATGGTGTTTATAAAAGTCTCTCAGTTTTTCTTGGAACCCTATTTCTTGTAAAGTACTTGTGGTGTTTACTTTGGAAKTGTATGTGCCCAGAACCATATTCACATAACATGCTCTTTAAAACAGAACTCAATAACCACACAAACAGGCCTCTAAACCTCACAGTTTGCTTGACAGAAAGCCTGATAATAAGGCCTYATCTTCATCCCAAGGCTTATTTTCTATGCTTTTGCATTACAGCATAGAAATTGTACTCTCTAGGAATTTCTGTTTCTACTGCTGGTGTGTTTTGATCATTTCATCTTTAATATCCATTACAGAAGGTTTCCTAAGGCTAAGCAACAAGGAGAGCCAGACTACAGTGAACCAAGCCTGCTSGCCTGCATTAGCACACACAACCTGTAATTTTAACTACCCACTCCAACCCACTTGGAAAATTTATTCCATTTTTWAATCAAACTTGTACTATGTGATTCAAAATGAAGGTAACTTAAAATACAGCTCTTAAATCTGCTCTAGTCTCTATTAATTTTTGTTTTCCCAATGCCTGTTTCAAGTATTTTTCTTTCTCTTGCTTTCATAGCCAAGAGCCCCGTGACCAGAGAGGCAGGTGAGCTGCAAGGACAACATGCAAATATGTGAACACAGATAAACAGCAGGAAAAATTCACATCACAAGGCTGTTAAAGCACCACTTATTTCTTGTAGGTATCTGTTGTTACAAAGCACTGCTGGGTTTGGTGAGACTCTTGACCAAGGTTCCACAGCAGCCTCAGSATCTAAACCTGCCTTAATTCATCCCAAAGAGCTGAGTGATAGGAATGTTCCAGTCAGCAAAAGAAGGAACAGCTGGACCATCTCCAGTTATTTCTAACTCACTGTTTCAGCTCAGACACAGCTCTCTGCATCTCTTTAGATGGGACAGGGGAGCAGGAACTGCCCTGTAACAGAAATTCCAGCTTCTCTTGAAGAGAAGCATTAAAGCAAGCATGACCCACCTCTCACAGGTATAATACTRAATCCCATTTGGTTTAATAACACATCCGTTAAAACCATTTAACAGGATACCTGTAAGAGTAACAAGCAGCTTTTTCTTAAAAAAAAAGGTCACCTTTCAGAATAACATTCTTTTAAAATACAAATTCAAAATTTAACCTAAGCCACTATGCAGACTGTGCACTTTAAAAAGTATTATCACCTTTATGAAAAAGAGACACAAAGCTACACAGCATAGTCCAAAACAATCCCACTAGTCATGTTAATGTCCTCTAGCACATTACAGAACTGCTGTGCTCTCCAAACACCCAAMTGACCCCTACAAAACAAATGTCTATTCTCATCTGCACTACATATTGCAAGAAAACAGGTTTAGTGAGTCTATGTAAAAGCTGTGATAAAAAACAAGATTAAAAACCCCAGAGATAACTCACTGTCTACCTTTGAAAACCTTGTCTTACCTTAGACAGATCTTCTAATGAGAAGCCTTTAACATAGGTGCCTTCTGGTGTGCCACTGCAGCAACACCATGGCACAAATCACATTCTGTTTGCCTGCAAGCACAGCTGGATAATCATTGTGTTAGTCTGAGTGTTAGAGAGCAACAATGCAAAATTCATGAAGCAGATGGATGAGTACATCTGCGCCAGCTCAGAGTAAGAAGCATTCGAGACAAAACTCTGTGCAAGGAAACTGCACGGCTTCAAACACACAAATGGCTTTTAGAGATGCAGGCACTGAAGCACAGGAATATCCTTTCTGAGGCTAGTCCACCCTTCTGCCAAACACGCAAATAAACACTGCGTTAACAGTACCCAAAACACGGGGGTAGAAAAGAGCAGAAAAAGAACTTCCAAGGTAACTTTAAAATATCCTTTCATTGCCATTTATAGACCTGTCATTTCAACTRGCTTTAAATACACTTCAGTTATCTATCGCTGACTTTATTGTAAGCATTTGCTCAGTAACCCAGTTGTTAATTAATCCCATGCCTTATACGTATTGAGGCATTCGAAAAATTCTCCAAACACGAACCGTYCTGGAGCCGTCCCAAGCTGTCAGGGCTCAGCAGTGGTCACGCTGCACACAGCAGCTGCTCCACGGTCACAGACAGCACTTGGCATTTTTAAACAGTGTATGCATCAAAATTATGCGCACTATCGGGGAAACGAAAATGAACGAAGYGCTTATTTCGAGATGTAAGCGCAGCAGTGCTGCCTAATAACACAGATSGGGTTATTTTTGGGCCCGCGCAGAAGCTTGCCCGCCGGCCTTTTGCAGGCTCTGACCACCCCAGGGATCACCATTTTCCTCAATTAAAAACGCCCTTTCCGCGCCTCCCGCCGCGGGCAGCGCTGAGGCAGCTTCCCACCGTCACCGTCACCGGGCCGGTCCCGCACCGCGACGGCACCTACCGGGTAAGGAGAGCCCGGATCCGCTGCACAGCCCGGTACGGAGCGGTTCCACAGTCCCTGTGCCCGGGTCCAGCAGCCGCCCCCGGTGAGGGAACACAGGCGGTGGGAGGAGAAACCGCCCCGCTGAGGGGAGGGAGGAGGCGGGAGGAGAAGCCGCCTCTCTGAGGGGGAGGGGAGGGAGGAGGCGGGAGGAGAAACTGCCCCGTCTGAGGGGAGGGAGGAGGCGGGAGGAAAAGCCGCCCCGTCTGAGGGGAGGCGCTGGGAGGAGAAGCCGCCCCGCTGAGGGAAGGGAGGAGGCGGGAGGAGAACCGCCCTGCTGAGGGAAGGCGGGAGGAGAAGCCGCCTCTCTGAGTGAAAGGAGGTGGCGGGAGGAGAAACCACTCCGTCTGAGGGAAGGCAGGCGGTGGGAGAAGAAGCCGCCTCTGAGGGGAGGGAGGAGGCGTGAGGAGAAACCGCCCCGCTGAGGGGAGGGAGGAGGCGGAAAGAGAACCGCCCCGCTGAGGGAAGGGAGGAGGCGGGAGGAGAAGCTGTGCCTCTGAGGGGAGGGAGGAGGCGGGAACCGGGCAGCGAAGCCGCCCCTCACCGCCTTCCCGCGCCGCCTCCCGCTCCCTCAGGGCTCCGCGGTGCCCGCCCTCACAGCTCGGCGGCGCGGGGACCCTGCGGGACCCTTCATTGCAGTGAGAAASGCGATGGAAATCTGAGGAGAATCCCCAGTCAATACCGTTAGGTGTTAGCGATGGGGGAATCCCAGAGCGGGTGAGGACAGGAAGGTTTCGCAGTTCTCCGGAGCCTGCTCACGGGACACCCAAATTTGCTTTCATTTCTGTTCCCGTTGGGTTTGGAGCTGAAAGGAGGGGATGTTCTGGGGTAGGTGATCCCATGGGAAGCACCCCTCGGCAGCTCCCCGACGATGCCAGCCCCGAGGGAAGGCACAGCGAGCAGACACGGGGGCCKGCGTGCACTTCAGGTTGGTCTTTTCAACTAAATTAAATCACGAAACTGCACATTTCCCCAAAAGAAATGGCAGGATTATGTACCGGATTTCCAGTTCCAAAGACCGCGTTTCCTCAAAACACTCACATTTGCGTTATTCCTAAACCACTGGTTTTCTGGGTTGAAAATGCCCATGTTTAAGCTTTTCCTCAAGCTAGAATTTGTGGGAAATTTAAACAAAACTCCTTTCATGAGTTGCATGGAAATTAATGTAAATAGGTTCCGGTTTAATTGTATTACTTGGCAGCCTGCAAAGAGTCTGCCTTTTTTTACTGCTGTTCGGTCCCTTATTCATGTAAATAATCCTCATTAGTGCATTTTACCATGAGTAGGGGTTACAMAACTGAGACTGGAAGATGTGAGTATGTCCTTCGTGACAGATGGATAGTTTCTTGCAACATCACGGACTGAAAAGTGCACAATCCCTGTGCTCTCAGAAGAGAGCAGAAAAACCCTGCTGCAATGCTAGTGCTGAGATAATCGTCAGGAGRAAGATTACCAATATTTAATTAAAAACACACAGAGCAGATGCTCTGAGTCTCAGCCAGGAAAACCCACCTGCCACCACCATTACATAAATTAAACTGTCTCAGTATGGGGACTGGAGGGAGCACCATATGTGTGGGAACACCACCTGCAATTTGAGGTTACCTGTAATTTTGTCACCAATTTCCAGCACCATGCTGAGGGTGCAGCCCTGGTTTGAGAATGTCAAGCAGACACTTGAGTGAGCCTCCATTTAATGCTGTTTCCTACAGGCACACTTTTCTCATATTCATGCAGAGTTTAAACTCAAAACACATTTGSAATGTTAGTGATTGTGCAAAAACACTTTTGAGGGCCTGGAAAGAGCACAGACTCATCAAATGAATTCTGAAGGCCCATTAGAAGCCAGATGTCTGGTTCTCACTGCATGAAAATATGTTGATAATGTTTAAAAAAATCACCACCTGCCATGGTAGRCTACTGATAATGTTGGAATGCTGTAAATGGTGTGATACATGAGCATAACTGAGCAAGTCATGAGAGTAGCTTGCTTTAAACTCAGGCAAATAATGGATCATTAAGGTTGCAAAAGACTTCCAAGGTCAAGACCAACTTTACGGAATCCCACCATCCCACTAAACCGYATCACAAAGTGCCACATCTGCTTGTTATTTTTTCAKTGAGTATGTTCAGCATTGCATATATTTTTTCCAAAGGCGTTGTAGCTTGTAAAGTTTCAGGTTGCTCATTTTAAATAAGGTTCCCTTTAGAAATCACTGTTCTAGAGAACTGTGGTTTTGAAAGGAAAAAGGCAAGCACACCCCAAATAATACTAATTTTCAGAGCAATTTTACTCATTGAAAAGCYGGATTAAAAAAATSCCTYTAAATCAATCAATTCCCTGACAATTTGTGCCCTCATACTCCTATGACAATCTGGTTTTACAAGGTAAATCAAGTTGGTCAYAAAGCTCACTCCAGCTATGTGGCAGGTGCATGTAATACACATACCTAAAACTTCCTGGAGCACCAAAGCAGGACTTTCTAAGGAAGAAGGGCAATGGTGGACATAATTTCTCCATGTTGTTTTAATTGCATGGCATTTATTCTTGGTATTTTTAGCTCTGTCCACAAAGTAATTATACAAATTTCTCCTGCAGGCCTCCCAGAACATGAGAGTTCATCTTTCTACTCATCAGTGACAGTGTGAATCTGTCTCTGGTTGCCAAGCCCAGCTCTCTCATGGAGGTGGACAGGAAAAGCACCCGTTTACACCGTGCCCCAGTGCAGCAGCAGCAGGTAAGCGAGGCACCAATGCTGTAGTGGCAGCCCCAGCCACCAGCTGCCAGCGAGATAAAGGCGGCCGGGGCCTCCTGTGTCGGGTGGGAATGGTTCAGCTGAAGACACACTGCARTGCCAAGTGAGCAGCTGCCTGGCAAGGTCACTGGCCACAGAGTGAGCTGGGCAGAACATGTGGTGTTGTGGGCCAGAGGCAACTGCAGCGGGCAGGGAATGCAGCGGGTGCCTGATACAGGGCAGGACGGACCCTCTTTCTGGCCGGAAAGAGGGCACACAGGACCCTCTTCCTGTGTGCAGACTTATTATGGGGGCTGCCCTCGACCCTGTGTGACCACGGCACGGCCATCACTGGGGTTGTGGATCCGCGCCGCCGGGCAAAGGCCTCCTGAGGACCAGCTGGAGATGATCCAGCATATCTGCTGTGGTGCTGGAGGGCACAGAGAGCACGGCAGCACCTTGCCGAGGTGCTCGGGCCCAACAGCCCGGCTTTCTGGGGAGGAGGGGGCCCAGGCTGAATGTGCGGGCAGCCCGGGACAGGGAGARGGAACCGGAGGCAGAGCCGTGCTGCGAGCCCGGGCGGGGCAGCGGCGCCGCCTGTCGGGCGGGGGCGGGGACTGCGCTGCTCCGGGCCCGGCGGCGCCGCCGGGAGCTGCGGGCACAGAGACCGCGGGGCCCTTGCCCGCGGCAGCAGCGGCGTTCCCGGAGCACGGAATGCGGCGCAGGCGGTGTGGTGCTGCGGACGCGGGTGGGCAATGCACACAGGTGGAGGGGAAACGGCGGCGCTGCCCCCCTGAAAGAGGCCTGGCGGGCGGCTGAGCAGCCAGGCGGTAGCGTGGCCGAGTGGTCTAAGGCGCTGGATTTAGGCTCCAGTCATTTCGATGGCGTGGGTTCGAATCCCACCGCTGCCAAGTTGTTTTGTCCCCGCCGCGTGGCTCCTTTTCGCCGCTCGMACAGCGGGAGCCGCCGGCACGGTAGGACCGTCACTGTCCGGCCGGACACTGCTCCCCGCGGGCAGTGCCTGCTGGAGGTTATCGGTCCCATTCGCTAAAATCGATGATAGAAGGTTGTGCTATGTACTGGGGAAAAGAGTGATTTTTTCACTGAGTTTCTTGCTTTAAAAATAAAACGAGAAACACAGTAATTTTCAGTGGTTCTACCTTTGGGTGCTGCGTTTGTGTTACAGCACCTGTGACTCCCAAGCTATGCGCCTGGGCTTTGCTGCCTGCCCTGGCCTGGCTTTCACACCTTCTCCAGAGTTTTCAAATACATCCATGATTACTCCCCTCCAGACTATGATTCCTCAAGCTCTCATCCACAGTTCCTTCCCAAGYTCTCTACTGTCTGCATCTTGCTCTTGGTTGTTCTCGCCCCATGTTACAGGTTGGAAAGATGCAGGTGGGAAGAAGATTTCTGTGATAAATTCCCACTGGGAAGGATGGGGAGGAGCTGGAGCATTCTGAATTGTGCTTCAGGTCTGTTTTAGCTGAACAGTAATTTGAAAAGCACATAGTTCACATCCACTGCTGCAGGTATTTGCTCAGCTCAACTACTGTACTTCAGAAATTTGGTGCAAAAACAGTTCTTAAAGTTCAGCTAAGAAGCAGCTGAACTGTGGTAGTTGTTGCCCTTAATAACTACAGGAGGTGAAGGAAGCTGAACAAAGATYCTTGCAACCCATAGATTCCTCTACTGTGACATAAATAC